GAAATATATGTTTGTTTTAGCAATGTATGTGGTAGTCTATATATGAAACATAAAATATATTTACCTTAACCATTTTTATATTTAGTTTTAACATATTATGTTAAAACTAAATATAATATATGTTTGTTTTAGCAATGTATGTGGTAGTCCATATATGAACCACATACATTTGCTAAAACAAACATATATTTCTTTCAGTGTAGATTTTTTATTTCTATTATACCACAGTACGAATTGACCATTCTTTTTCGATTCTTGATACTATTTGAGCCTTTTTAACTGACGAGGTATTTTTATTTTCTACTGTCAGTTATAGTGACTTAAGTCAGTGGAAAGCCGGTTTTACGCAATAATGTTGACAGTTTTCTCTCATTCTAATTCTTGTACGCTTTTTTAATGAATACAACTGTACAATTTGTTAAATGAACAAATTTAATGTTTTGGATTAAAGAGAAACTAAACCTTAATTTAATAGTTTTTTTAAGGTAATCCTAAAAATTTCAGTATTTGATTCAACCAATTCCAGCTATCAAATCAAAATAGGATAAACATTTTAATTCAAAAAATTAGTTTATGTTAAATCAATATTTTAACTGTCAATTGAACAAATAAACTTTGACAAACTCTGACTATTGCTTTGACACCAAAATATAGATTAATCCAATAGGTTTTTTGATGAAACAACGTTTTCAAAAATGACTCAACTACATTTTTTTTTCGGTGTAGATAAAAAGTATACTGAAGCAAATGTTTTTTAGTATTTGGATCTGATTTGTTATTTCATTGCTCATGATTTCACAAAATTCTAAACGCCTGTCTGCATTATCATCGCCAAGTTCTTGTGTAATATACATTTTGAACGGGTGTAATTTTTGATGTTTCAACACCTTCCCAACAGACTCAGGGCAAAGCCCTGTTAATCTAGATTTTTCGAACTGAGTAATATTGTGGGATCTACACCAAACTGAACAGGAACCTCAATATGGGTAGCTTCACCAGGTTGGTTTCTTTTTTGATTACAAACAGATCCCGTTGGTTCAAATTTTGCAACCAGCTCTTGAACATATTTATGACGCACATTTTTGCCAGGGTGTAGTTCTTTAAATGCATCTGCAGTTCGTAGAGCACAAAGATTTTGTGCACCATAAATAAAAATAATTTCAACACGTGTAGCTGTTGTGTAAACCATTTTTAAACAATACAAGTATTTAAAATATTAAAACTAATCGGCATATAAATAGCAGTTTTTTTGTAAGTTTTTATAAATCTGATACAAAAAATCCAACAAAAACATACACATTTCATTGAGGCTTTAAATTGTTCAATAATGCCAATATTTTTCGCGACAAAAATTTCAAAATAATAAAAGACTATTTAAAAATAGACTCATGGGAGTTATTTTATGCGTTTAATTTAAAGAGCTAAAAATTAAAGTGTTTCGATTATTGTTGAACAATTTGTTTATTTATACTTTTTTAGTTTATTTTACTTTTGTTAGAATTATTTTGTGTCTTGTGTGTTTTTTACTAATGTTTTTACGACAACAAAATTGTTTAATTTGATATTTATAACAAAAAATTGGAATTGGAATTATTATAAACATTATTTTGCGTATTTTTTAAAAATTAAACCATTAAAAAGTATTTTTTTTTAGTATTGTTAAATAGCAATTTTTAAGAGCTTTCCAATGAGGTATAAAAAGGGATTTAAAAAAATTGTTTTGGTCTTACTAATTCCCCCCAACATATCCTAGAAACGGTTTTGAGACATGTTTGATATCTTTTAAGTCCAGACTTATAGAGCATTGTTCTAAGGTCATTTTTTATCTACCCTGAAAAATTATAAACGGCCTATTAAAATGGACGACCGGCGTTTTGCCTTTAATCCAGTATTTACCCATCAATCAAAGTCCTAAAAGTTTCCTTTGTCAGTCTTAAAAAATAATAATTTTAAACAAGTTTATATCGTAAAAAAGACTTTTAATGGAAAGGCAATGTATCATTATAATTAATCACCTATTATTTACTTCCAATAAAACAACTAAAACCAGTGGAACGAAAATGCTATAAGATGATATTAAATTAAAAAATACCATAGGATATCCTTTTCCTTCAAACACTCCTTTAAAAATAGGCGTTTTCTGTACACGCTTTATTTATTATGAATATGTATTATACTGCATATAATTCCGGAGTACGTTTTTACCGATAAAGAAAATGACATGAGATTAAACTAATTGCTTTAGTGGGTAAACATACGTGGACGATATATACGACTTTCTAGTTAATAAATTACGTGGCTAGTAGCAAAAACTCAGGAACTCTTTTCATGCCACTATTATTGCTTCCTTAATGTGCTTTCCCATAGGAACAAAACAAGTTTTTGCTTTACCTAATGAAAGCGAATTCGAAATTAGGTCGATTTAATTTTATTTATAAAATAAAATCAAAGATAATTTTCATTTTAAAATTAATTTATTTTCATTAATTCCATCAGAAAAAAACTAATTCATGTCTTAGAGAAAAGTATATTTAATATGGTGAGATTTCCATATTTTAAATTTTTAAAATGTCTAATTTTCCGGAAATTTTCAAATACTTATTCATAAAATTTTTTTTAGAATAATTAAAATTTCCAAAATTTTAAAAATAACCAGAGTATCCAAAATCTCCAAAATTCTTAAAAATTTTAAAATTTCCAAAATTTAAAAAAATGCAACGTTGCCTGCAATCTTGCTGCGACATTAATAATGTATAATAAACATGTTATTGCCATTATAGAAATGAAAAGTTTATAGATTTTAGCAGTTAAAAATGTAATTGATTTTAAATGCATAATTTTTGGGTCAATTCTAAATTTTCCCATAAGCTTAACTTAATTTAAAAGCTTTTATTTTTGATTTTGGTAAATTGTATAGTTTTGCAACAAAAATAATGGTTACTTGGAAACGGCTTTAACGATTTGGGTAAAATTTTGTATTTAGATATTTTTGAATTTGCTGATTACAAATTTGGTAGAATGTCTTTTCCGGTAACAGCTCTATAATTTTAAATTTTTTTAAATATTCATAAAAAAATTCAAATTTTAAAATAGTAAAGATTTAAAAAAATTTAAAGTATCCAAAATTCTAAAAAAGAGTTAAAATTTCCCAAACAATTTCTGATGTTGCTTAAATTTGGCATGTGGTTTATCCATTTTTCCATTTTTTTCCAAAATGGCGGAATGGCAAAAAAATGCCTAATAATTATTATTTTCCGGCTCTATAATTTTAAAAAATTTCAAAAATTTTCATATACATATTCATAAAAAAATCAAATTTAGAAAATGCACAATTTTAAAAATTTCCAAAGTATCCAAAATTCCTGAAATTTTTAAAATTTATAAAACAATTTCTGATTGATATTGCTTAAATTTGACAACATATGGTTTTTGAGGTCGCTGATTAAAAATTTTATATCTATTTTTTTTTAATTTTTAAAACAAAATGGCGGATTCAATATTTTCGCTCTTTAATTTTAAAAAATTTCAAATTTCATAAAAAATGTAAATATTCACAATGTACCAAAAATCCTTAAAAAAATAAAATTTCCAAAAACATTTTCTGATATTTTTTAAATTTGACAACATATGGTTTTTATTTTTTCAATTTTTAAAACAAAATGGCGAAACCAATATTTAAAAAAAATGTCTAATTTTTCGGAAACGGCTCTATAATTTTAATTTTTTTGTAATATTCATAAAAAAAATAGTTAAAATTTAAAGTATTCATTGAAACTTTAATTTTAAAAAAATTCAAACATTTTTAAATATTCCTAAAAAATCAAAATTTTTATAAAAGTTAAAATTTCCAAAATTTACAAGTATCCAAAATTCTAAAAAAAAATTGAAATTTCCCAAACAATTTCTGATATTGATTAAATTTGACATGTTGTTTTTGAGGTCGATATCCATTTTTTTATCTTTTAAAACAAAATGGGGAACAAATATTTGCCAAAAAAATGTCTAAATTTCCGGCTCTAAAAAATTTCAAATATTCATAAAAAAAATCTAAATTTTTAGAATAGTTAAAATTTTCCATTTTTTCAAATTTTAAAACAAAATGGCAAAACCAATATTTTCAAAAAAAATATGTGAAATTTTCCGAAAGCAGCTCATAATTTTAAAAAATTTCAAAAAATTTCAAATTTTATAAAAAATTTAAAAATTCTCAATGTATCACAAATTCAAATATTCATAAAAAAAATAAAATAGTTAAAATTTGCAATTTTTTTAAAAATGTCCAAAGTATTCATTGTCTCCAAAATTTCTAAAATTTTTAAAATCCCATAATTACAAAAAGAGGCTATAGCAACTTTGCCTGCAATCTTGCCATGCATTGCTGCAAAATTAATAATGTATAATGTTATTGCCATTATAGATCTTAAAATTTAAAGAGTTTAGCAGTCAAAAATGGAATTAATTTGAAATACTAAATACTAATTTGTCCCATATTAAGCTTAATTTATAAATTAAGCTTAATACCTTTATAAAAAGTTTGTATTTTTAGGCGATTATACGCATAAGTTTTGCATTGCAGTTGTATAGTCATTCCAAAAACAATAAACAAAATAAAACTATTTATAAAGCAATCGATCTATTTTCGTACCTATATATAACACGGAAAAAATCAAATCGAATTCGCTCTTATCTCTCCCAGCGCATAGACGTAAATGTCAACTCATTTATATTTACGGTGAATCTAATACATGTTGGCAAATAAATTAACGAGGTGGTCGGCTGCAATTTGCCGCCACTACACCAACATAACGTAGGCATTGGGAATTAAATTGCGTCTCGACGGGGCGAAAATATATCGCAGTAGGTGAATAAATGTTTAAAAAAATAAGCGAACAACGCTGCCGCCGCCGCGATTAGGATTAGCGTCGACGTCGAAAGCGGTCATTTCCTGTTGCATTGTTATTACTTCCGGTCACTAAATGTGGTGCGTTTGTGGTTTTCAGAAAAACAAGGAGCTGATGAACGACCTGGTCGCCAACTGCAAGCTTAAAAATGGTAAGTTATTTTAAATAACTTTTTTGGTTTTGTTGGATATTATCATAAAACTTTTTTAAATTAAATTATATTTTAAAACCTTTATTTTGAACATTTTTAAAAGATAAGTTTTGTCAAAAACTTTTCGTCACCTCATGTGCACGTTTTCAGGATATTGTATTTTTTTTATCAAATTTTTAATTATTGTTAAAAAAACTAATTTTTAAGTGATCCGTCTATATAATTTTCTTTACCTAATTTAAGAAATTCTTCAAACTGGATTATAAAATGTTATTATAATAATTAAACTTTTCCTAAAAAGGAATTCTGTTTTCATAGGGAAACGATGTTCGACTTAAAATTAAAGTCTTTAATAACTCTGAAATCCCGATCACATTGTGAAAGAAGACAAAAATGGATTAAGATCAAAAGCATTTTTAAAATAATATATATTGCAAATAACTCCAAATAAAAACAACATGTGTTTAATAAAATATTGTCGAATTTTGATTCTTTTTTTACTTTAACAAAAATAATAGTATATTATGTATCAAGTTTAATAAACGCCATTTTATACACGAATTTAATTTAGGCACGAGCGAGCTTCCGAGCGAGTGCTTAAATTAATGAGTGTATAGAAAAGTTTATAAACGAGGTGCATACTATACTTTTTCTACGACAAATACTTATTATTATCTTAAAATGATTTAAATCAAAAATTTGCATAGAGCGCCATCTATGATACAATAGGGGAATCTGTGTGTCACCGTCAAATGTCACATTTTTATATTTTATAAACACAGATTATAAAGGTTATAAATCAAAATGTATTTCTTGAAAATTGACAGTTTTTTACAGTGAAAGTAAAGAAAATGTTTTATGCCCGAATTTAAGTTATAGTTTACTGCCGGCGAAATTAAAAGGTCAGTACAATCTTCATATAAAATTTTCAAATATTGGTGCTGAGAAACTATTAAATACTTTTGTATTTTTGTATTGAGTTAATAAAATAATTTTCACATTTAGTATTATTTTACAAGAAAGACACTTTATTTTAATGATTGTATGACATTTGGCAACTGTCAACTAACTTAAAACTAATTTCAGCCCGTGTCTAAAAACCTGTTGCTAACTTCAGCCCGTGACTAAAGCGCCATAAAGCCATAACTTGTCAATGTGTATTTAAAAGGTCACTTAGTGTCATGGAAACATGTACGATAAAGGGCGTTTTAAAGGTGGGAGTAGAAAAACAAATAAAAACATTAAAACAATAAAACATTGTCGAATTTTGATTCCATTTTGACATACAGGGCTTTAACAAAAATAAAATATGTTTTCTACTCCTATTGTATATTATTGACAGTATTTGTTTTTTTTTTCGTAAATAATGATAACCAATATAACCCCCCGGCTCAACAACGGGAATATTAAACTCATTATTCACGTTGTTAGGCATCAGTGATTAATAAACTAAAGAAAAAATCTGATATTGTTCTTAATGACCAAATTGAAACTAACAGCTCGCCTCTGCTAAATTTATTTTAGAGTGTATACTTGTAGTACTAAAAAATAATATTTATTAATATTATAATATTATATTAGATTGGACTTTCCAAACCCTTAGTTTTTACAAAAATATGTAAGTTTTATTAATACCTTCAGGTATAATGTTTATACAACATTTATTTTCTCAAATTACCTGCCATTTGTTAATATAAATACCGCCACTTGATAAAATATGTACAGGGTGGTCCACGTAAGGTGACCCATATACTTATCTCAGAAACTACTGGAGTCACAAAAAATTTGTAAAAAACAAATATTCACGAAGTAAAAAATATTTTTAAAATATTATATTTTCATTTATACAGGGTGTTCGGTTTTCCTTGGGACGATACCAACTTTCTTATTTTCAATGGAACACCCTGTATTTTTTTGCATTTTTGGATTCTACCCACTCTTTTAGGTATACTTTGTAAATATATTAATTAAGAAAATGTTAATACTTTTTGAGTAAAATTAAGATTTATTAAAATTTCTCTAAATGTAGACACTCGCTAAAAGTTAAAAATAATCAACTAAAAGTTATTATTTTTTATATTATGTAGTATCCATCTCTTTAATAATAAGTAAGCTATAAGTTAATTATTATATTTTTTGGAAAATATCATACAGGGTGTTTTCTATGTCCCGTTGAAAATAGCGATTTTAAAAGTTTAAAATCTTGTTTTTCTTCAATGGAACACCCTATATATTTTTTGCATAATTGGATAGAATAAGTATTTACCTTTCATTTTATATATATGTCCTATACCTAAACCTAACAGAAAAAAAAATATTCGCATTTTTCACAATTAGTAGCTTTTTTCCAATTACCTTAGTTAAATTTTCATTATTCAAATAAATAAATTTCAATAACAACAAATAAAAATGCTTTTATATATAAATATATATTACTATAATAATTACCATAAGCGCAAAGCTACTAATTTTGTAAAATGCGAATATTTTTTTTAGGTGATCCACGTAAGGTGACCCATATACTTATCTCAGAAACTACTGGAGTCACAAAAAAATGTAAGAAACAAATATTCACGAAGTAAAAAATATTTTTAAAATATTATATTTTCATTTATACAGGGTGTTCGGTTTTCCTTGGAACGATACCAACTTTCTTATTTTCAATGGAACACCCTATATTTTTTGCATTTTTGAATTCTACACACTCTTTTAGGTATACTTTGTAAATATATTAATTTAGAAAATGTTAATACTTTTTGAGTAAAATGAGGATTTATTAAAATTTCTCTAAATGTAGACATTCGCTAAAAGTTAAAAATAACCAACTAAAAGTTATTATTTTTTATATTATGTAGCATTCATCTCTTTAATAATAAGTAAGCTATAAGTTAATTAATTTATTTTTTGGAAAATATTATACAGGGTGTTTTCTTTGAATAATGAAAATTTAACTAAGGTAATTGGAAAAAAGCTACTAATTGTGAAACATGCTAATATTTTTTTTTCTGTTAGGTTTAGGTATAGGACATATATATATATATATAATGAAAGGTAATTACTTATTCTATCCAATTATGCAAAAATATATAGGGTGTTCCATTGAAGAAAAACAAGATTTTAAACTTTTAAAATCGCTATTTTCAACGGGACATAGAAAACACCCTGTATGATATTTTCCAAAAAATATAATAATTAACTTATAGCTTACTTATTATTAAAGAGATGGGTACTACATAATATAAAAAATAATAACTTTTAGTTGGTTATTTTTAACTTTTAGCGAGTGTCTACATTTAGAGAAATTTTAATAAATCTTAATTTTACTCAAAAAGTATTAACATTTTCTTATTTAATATATTTACAAAATATATCTAAAAGAGTGGAAAGAATCTAAAAATGCAAAAAAATACAGGGTGTTCCATTGAAAATAAGAAAGTTGGTATCGTCCCAAGGAAAACCGAACACCCTGTATAAATGAAAATATAATATTTTAAAAATATTTTTTACTTCGTGAATATTTGTTCCTTACAAATTTTTTGTGACTCCAGTAGTTTCTGAGATAAGTATATGGGTCACCTTACGTGGACCACTTCTGAAGAAGCTACTGTGTAGCGAAAAAAATTAAAACATAAATAAATTAGTGAAACTTTAAAACAGTGTTGTTTTTATTCATATATTAATAATATGGAGTTTCATCAAGTAAAGGTAGAAACAATCAACAACATTGAAAAATTAAATTGTATAAATTGTCACCGCAAATTTTGCAATAATAAACATACTGCATGTTTTCTGTTGCTTCATTTTTAGTTTCCATATTTTTTTTATATTTTTTTTATTGTGGTGGACTTTATTTGTTTCACAGGACATAATAATTCGTTTTTACAACTCATTCAACACTGCATACAGAAATGTTACTGCAACTGTTAAAAGCAAAAAGCGTATCAACAACTCGCAATTTTGTCGCGTTTAAATCCTTTTTTCTACGTTTTTTAATTGAAAAAATAATCAAATATTATATATTATAAGGGGAGTTGCATAAATTTATAAATAAATAAATCCATAAATAAGTACCAACTTGCAAAAACAAAATTTACTTTGTCATTTTATTACATTTGATTTCAACTGATTTTATAATTATTTTTTCAATTAAAAAACGTAGAAAAAGGAATTTATTTTTTAATAAAATATCGGCTCGTGAATTCCTGTTGATATAAAATGCACCACCCTGTATACATTTTTAATACAAATTATAAATAGGTAAATATTCGTTGATAATGTTCATCGATAGCTATCGACTATAGTCGATTGGAAATGTATTGCTTTTAATTTTATAATGTGATTGTAATGTGAGGATACAAATTTTCCAAATGAGCGTACGATTTTTATACGTTAAAAGGAAAATTATAACTAAGTAATAATTCATAATATCAAGTCACGCTATAAAATGTTTCAAGAAAAATTCATTTGTTTATTACCAATGTGCGATTGAACATTTCTGCACCGTTTGATCATTATCGTGATATTAGCCATTGTAGCAAATTTATATAATATTTTTGATAAAGAAATGCTGATTTTGCCGTTCTGAACAGTAATAAAATATGTTATTTTTAAACAAATATTAATTTTATGTTAATCCAGGTCCACATAACTTTATGTTAAGTTTAAAACCAACTGTAATCTGTTAACTAATTGAATAGGTAGTTTGTAATTATAACAAACATTTTGTAGATTTAATAACAAAATTCTACATCAATAATTCATCCATAATTCTTGTAATTTTCAAAAAAGACCTCATTTTTACAAACCTTTTTGTATACCCACTAATAAAAGTATCTGTTGGAAATTGGGAACCTAAATGAAAAGAATTTTGATAAGAAATTTAGCTTTATTAATCAATTTTCTAAACAAAAAAATTAACACATAGGTATCTACATAAAATAACATACACACAATTAAATTAAACACATCATTCTGAAATCAAATTATAAAAAAAATTGGTA